CCAAGTCGATGCAATATAATTAGGAAGTGTACCAAGGAAATAAGTGTTAAAGTCCTTGCAAGGTAACAGCAACGAATCAAGGTGGTTATGAGGACAGCAAATCTTGCTGCTGCTGTAACTGTGTGAGAATATTAAGGCCGATACAATAAGCATACAGCCTCTCACTAACGGCCTGGAGGAGCCCATAACCCATTGGAGAATGAACAAATCCACAAGGGCCGTGACGAGGATTCGAACCTACGTCTGAGAGCATCCCAGACGCTGCAGTAATCGACTTAGCATTCGAGAATTTATCCTGGTTGTTGTTAGCTCTGGTCAAGATTGGTCTACTGGTTGAGACGATAAAAAGTGTTGCTCAGAGAACACTTTCCCCAACAGATTGCTGGGAGAAATGTTCATATTTCAGCAAGACGATCTAATATGAGCCGATGTTGTCAAAGAGGGATTAATGGATGCTACATTAATAAATCACCGTTCTCAGGTAGGCAATTTAAAAAGATAAAGGACATAAGGGGACCCAGTACTACTCCTTGTGGGGCCCACTCCAATCTGGCTGCCTGTCTCCTGATTACACTGTTTACTTCCCATATAGATAGAGTGTAAACGATCCTTTCCTTTTATACCAGCTCGTTTGGGATTTGAGCATTCATGATAATACAAAGACCTTTTGGCTAGCTATTTCGTCAACAGTATATCTTCATTAATGGCCTAGAAGTTATACTAATTCTTTCATTAACACATTTAGGTACATCTGCATTTATACAGCTGCTCTAAGGGGAATATGAAGGGGAGTACATAATGTGTTAAGAACTAGCTATGTGATGATAAAAAAATCCCCCATCATACAGGATGATTAGTTATACAGGGTCATATAAGCTGTCTGCACCGGCAAACTTCGGATGCATGGTGAGGATATCACTAAGAACACGAGAGTGACGAAAGTAACACTAAAAAGCCCCCATCTCGCAGGATCTTGTCAAAGAAGGGTGTGATCAGTAGCCTTTACTGGCAATTTTTGTATGCATTATGAGGATATCTTCAAGAACACGAGAGTTAATAAAGTGATTGCAAAGCTCCAGGTACCTCATGCTGGTAGGTCTGAAGGGTCTAATGACTGGGCATAACGTAGTGTGTGAGATCATCATCCAGTTCCTGCTCACAAAGTTTGCACATTTCCTGAGCACTCCAGTGCTCAGGAAACTGGAGCGCTCAGGACTGGGAGATTCGTTACCTGTAACCACTTGCCACAGGTAACGGTAGCCCAAACTAATCCTCGCAACCAGTGTCGCACAGTCTACTGGATGGTTTGTGCTGCCCGTATACATAGATGTCGGATCTAAACAAAATATAGCTTTTTATTCTGGTGCTTCCAGGCATTTGGGAATCAGTATTTTCTCTCCTATCAGACCTGAGTATTTGGAACAATATAATCTGGACAACAGAGATAGGGATACCTAAGTCTCATTAAACTTCATCCTTGTTACACGATAATTTGGCTGCATGTCTGTGCCGTTATGATAGGTTATATTTATTTGAGATGGTATACATACAAAAGAGACTCTAAATCCCTTTATCTGTGAGGGGAGCAGGTTATTAATAATTGTTATTATGAGGTTCTTGCTGTCGATACTGCAGAAGTTTTCAAGTGCTTGAAGAGCAGACATTGAATCACAGAATACTATTCCTCCTGTGTTTTATAATGCACTGGTAACTAGCTGTAGTGAAGCTAGTTTCCTTCGTGTAAAATTCAGCCAGTTGTTTAACCTGACACTGATGGTCTGTTTGCAAGTATTGTTTCTATAAATCATACATGCTGCTGCAGTCCGTCCTGCTGACGATTGGACTGAACCATCAGTGGGGACACAGTGCTCGTGAGATCTTAGGTGTTTGGTATAAGGGACAATTGTTTCAAGTGACACTTTTAAGAAGAGGAAGATTCTCATTACCTGTGTAGATAATGGGTGTTTTTGTTACTTGAATGATGCGTACAGACCACGAGGGATATCAGTGACAGGTGGATTACATTTAAAGAGAATGTTCAGTTTGATGAGATTGCAGGCCTTTTTACTCAGCCATTTATCATACAATGAGTGTATTGACATGTTGGCACCACTGAATAGATGGGTATTAATACCCAATAGAGTATTAACGGAACAAAGTAATTTGTCCCTAAGCAATGCTGGATTATGTAGGGTCTGTTATGACTTTAATGCAAAAGGCTGAGTTGAGACATGATTCTCTGAAGTATGGTTGGAAGCTTAAGATCCTGCCTCATGTTAATATATCATATTAAACATTTATAACAAAATCTTACCCCCTTGTTTTTATATTTTTAATTTTTTACCCACTTCTTGCAAATGCCAATTATCAATGATTGTGTTATCACGACTGAGTATTTAATTCTTTATCCTCATACTCCAGCATCTGCTTTCTTGAGACTCAGCAAGTTAAAAGCATATATATTTCTCACTAAGTGTTCATTGTCTGTTGGAGCTAATGCGCGGTTTTCTGTGGCAGTGATAATCGACTCTCATTTATGTCTTATTCTAGAATGACATGGTGCTTAGTAATCATTACTACATTGCATTTGATTTTTTACAATACATCCTCTCATCTTAATATTTTTGTCTAGAGTTAAAAGAAGTTGCTTTTCCGTGACATCTGCTCTGCTCTCTCACCTTGAGAGGGCAGTGTATTAACTAGATATTTACTAGTTATATTTACTAGTAATTATTAGTAGCTAGTAAATATTAGTTATATTTACTAGTATTTACTAAATATGTGTATTTACTATTTGTGCCTGCAGAATCGAGCTATTAGCTCTTAGACCCCGCCTTTCTAACCAATCTATTTTTTTCTCTATTATCTACTACATATATTTCTCTCTAACACACACACACACACACACACACACACACAAGGGAGCCGGTGGCCGAGCGGACAGCACGCTGGTCACGTGATCCTGTGGCCCCGGGTTCGATCCCGGGCGCCGGCGAGAAACGATGGGCAGAGTTTCATTCACCCTATGCCCCTATTACCTAGCAGTAAATAGGTACCTGGGAGTTAATCAGCTGTCACGGGCTCCTTCCTGGGGTGTGTGTGTGTGGAGAAAAAAAATAGTAGTAGTAGTAGAAACAGTTGATTGACAGTTGAGAGGCGGGCCGAAAGAGCAGAGCTCAACCCCCCGCAAACAAAACTAGGTGAATACAACTAGGTGAATACACACACATCCCCAGGAAGCAGCCCGTAGCAGTTATCTGACTCCCAGGTACCTATTTACTTCTAGGTGAACAGGTGCATCAGGGTGAAAGAAACTTTGCCAATATGTTTCCACCACCGCCGGGAATCGAACCCGGGCCATTAGGACAACGACTCCCGAGCGCTATCCACTCAGTCGCGAGGCCCCTCTGTGTGTACTCACCTAGTTGAGCTTGCCGGGGTTGACCTATGGCTCTTTGGTCCCGCCTCTCAAATGTCAATCTACTGGTGTTCAGATTCCTGGGCTTCTCGAGCTCTGTCATATCTACATTTGAAATTATGTATTGAGTCGGCCTCCACCACATCACTTCCTAGTGCATTCCATTTATTAACTACTCTGACACTGAAAAACTTCTTTCTAACGTCTCCGTGACTCATCTGGGTACTAAGTTTCCACCTGTGTCCCCTTGTTCGTGTCCCACCCGTGCTGAAGAGTTTGTCTTTGTCCCCCTCTCAATTCCCCTGAGAATTTTGTGTTTGTGTGTGTGTGTGTGTGTGTGTGTGTGTGTGTGTGTGTGTGTGTGTGTGTGTGTGTGTGTGTGTGTTTGAATTAAGGGGCTATTAACATGGAAAGCGAAAAAGATTATTGTTAAATTGCGCTATCAGAGAATATTAGGGTTAATTTACTGATTTACAGATAATTAACATAATAAATTAATGTTAGGCTTGTGAAATGGACATTATAACACTTTGAAAAACAAAATCATTTAACCTGTTGCTATACATTAATTAAACAATATTTTAACAGGTCAGCAAATAAACAAATGGCTTTACGAACAAATGCTGTTTAATAACAAAGGTAGAATTAAATCATGATTAATTTTTTGCTTGTAATGTAGAGCCAGAAATGTTCACGGGCCAATTATAGCGCCTCCCCAACGCTCTATATAATCAAACCAGCCTCGACAAGCTCTATATATATCATCCTGACTCAAAAGAGCCACGAGCCCCCAACACACACACACACAACCCATCACGAGTCAACGTTGCAAATTCTTCATTATACCATTCTCGAACCATTACTGCTGAGTGATTGAATCATTACCTGACACGCACCACCCTCCGCCTTAAAGCCTTAATACGTTAAGTAGTCCCACAAATGCATTATTAAAATCATTACCAGTCACCGTAGTGATTTCATTCTTCACCTCTTGACTCATCAACATACCAAATAGTCACCGTGCATCGCCACTATCGCCTGCAGCACCAGCGGTAATACTACCACCATCACCACCACCACCACCATCACCCCCCACCATCACCACCACCATCACCACCAACATCACCACCACCATCACCACCACCACCACCACCACCCTTACCACCACTACAATCACCGCTACCACAATCAACACAAACCCTCACTATCATACCCATCATCAACACATCCACCACCACCACCATCACACCTACCTCCACTATCATTGTCACCATTTAATACCACCATCATCCTTACAATCGCCACAGTAACAATAACTACCACAACTGTTACTACATGTACAATAACAGTCGCCACCATCTCCAGAACCACAACAACAATTACCATCCGCTACCAGAACAATCGCCATTATTACCGTCACCAGGACAGCTGCCTTAATCACCATGGAAATTCACTATTACCATCTCCACAAAACAATTATCATGACCACCATAGCAATACTCACAACCACCACAACAATCGGTATCAACCTCACTACCACAATCATAACACTTACCTCCATCAATACTCCCACCACAATCAGAATATCTGCCATTTCTCTCTTCACGCCCAGAACAATCACCATCACCGGAGCTCACGCCCAGAACAATCACCATCACCGGAGCTCACGCCCAGAACAATCACCATCACCGGAACTCACGCCCAGAACAATCACCATCACCGGAGCTCACGCCTAGAACAATCACCATCACCGGAGCTCACGCCCAGAACAATCACCATCACCGGAGCTCACGCCCAGAACAATCACCATCACCGGAGCTCACGCCCAGAACAATCACCATCACCGGAGCTCACGCCCAGAACAATCACCATCACCGGAGCTCACGCCCAGAACAATCACCATCACCGGAACTACAGCAATGACAAGGACATCCACCACAACAATCCCACAATCCACAATACTCGAGACCACATCAAGCATAACCATAGAAGACTGGCAAATTTCTCCCCCGACGGGCTGTCAACCTTCAAACAATTCAACCGAAACAATTGAAAAGAAAGTTGAGGAAGGATAATTTTAGGGCATAACGCGAGAGAGAGACGAATGCAGTGGTGTCACACTTCACCCGCGATTTAATTAAGCCCCCCAGATGTGGCAACGTGCCGAGGACATGATTGTTTTCACAGTTAAAGGATTTTTTTGGGTGTTGAAAGCCAGCAGAGTTAATGTCTGCTAAATGGGTGTTGCGACATTGTGTGACGTTCCTGTGATACACCGTGTGTGTGTGTGTGTGTGTATATGTGTGTGCGTGGGTGGGTGGGTGGGTGTGTGGGTGTGTGTGTGTGTGTGTGTGTGTGTGTGTGTGTGTGTGTGTGTGTGTGTGTGTGTGTGTGTGTGTGTGTGTGTACTCACCTAATTGTGCTTGCGTGCGTGTGGTCCCGCCTCTGTCAATGTGTGTGTGGGTGTGTGTGGTGCCTCCACCACATCCCTTCCTAATGCATTCCATTTGTCAACCACTTCTAAAAACCTAGTGTGTGTATTCACCTAGTTGTGCTTGGGGTTGAGCTCTGCTCTTTCGGTCCGCCTCTCAACCGTCAACCAACTGTTTCTACTACTAATACTACTATTTTTTTTCTCTCTCCACACCTCACACACACACACACACCCCAGGAAGCAGCCCGTGACAGCTGACTAACTCGCAGGTACCTATTTACTGCTAGGTAACAGGGGCATAGGGTGAAAGAAACTGGCCATCGACGTGTGTGCGTGCGTGTGTACTCACAGAAATGTAATCTCTCCTGCAGATGAGCATCAGCCATTGTTGTCTGTCGTTTAAATGCCGTACCCTCCAGCTTATTAGACTGCTATCACGCCTATACAGTGAACGCTGTGAGTTTTATTAGTCTTGACTACCGTCTCTGGTTCATTCCATTTACTATTTTTAGGGTACACAAAAAGTTTCTTTACTCATCTATCGTACATCAATACATTTTGGTAAACCAGCTAAGACCTCTAGTTCTGATGTTGTCACGAACATCGCGTTCTTATCTTCTACGTTAATACCTTAGCATTTTATATGTCGCCATCTAAACTTTTCTTACCAATCTCCTTCAGTCTATTCTCGTAATCCAATCCTCTCATTTCTGGAACCGGTCTTATACAAATATCACTGAAGTTTATAGTTTCGTCTAGTGCATTTTAATACGAAGTTCCTAATTGGGGCAGCAAACAACACTACTGGTCTCGTATGTTCGGTGCTACCAATACCTCCTCCTCCAAGTTCTTGAACGGAACACATATGTTTGTTCCCTGTGTGTGTGTCACTGTTGTGATTCTGGTGATAATGTGCCCCTGAGTCAAGATGGAACTATGAATACTTCCAGATCCTTTTTCTTTCCTACTCCAGAAGCGGCCTCCCCACTCATGGTGTACTGACCTTTTCATCAGACGTCACCTCCACATTGGTTTGTATATTAAGTTGCAGCATTTTTAAAACATTTATATATTATACGACACACGAAAGGCGTTGGAGAAGTTGTGGCATTGGTTACAAGCACTAGTGCAGAGAGGCGTGTTAGATGCGCCTCGGCTAATTATAGTTCTAAAAATGATGTATGATTATGCAAAACAAACAGAATAATTAAATGAATGGAATTTATGGTGGCTTGGAAGAGGTGCGTGGGTTGATATGCGCATATTTAAAACCTTATAAAATAATATCTTTAAAATCTTCAGTGCAATAATATAACTATTACAGAATATTAGACTGACCAGAATTATAGTGACCGTCTAGCACAACATATGGAGAAAAGACCAAATGACGTATCACAATGCATATAATTAAATTTTCCTCACTCACCTTGTCGTCCCAATTATGAATTAATATTCGGTAAACGATCCAAATCTTAATTTTCAATGGTGAAACTTGCTGAATATTAAACTTTCGTGGCCTGCTCATTGCTATGCCAGACTTCACCTCCTGACTCATTTACATATTAAACAAGCTGGATATTTTCCTCGTTATAATAGTTATTGTATTTATTGTGACTATTATAGGCACAATGATTACTGTTTGGCTGCATAAGGAGCATTAACACAACCCAGGTAGTTGTTAGTCGTTTCATGCATAATGTTCATCATTAGTGACGCTCGTGCATATGTTGTTAAGACATATTTTATATTTACCCCGTCTCTCTCTCTCTCTCTCTCTCTCTCTCTCTCTCTCTCTCTCTCTCTCTCATTTGTGAGCCATTTGAATCTTTGTGCAATCAACTTATGTGCGTGCATCTGATATTTTATTATAATTATTTACATTATATATATTAAGTAATCGGCAACAGAAAACACGTTCCGGGGAACTGACGCTCACCCTGCTAGCACATACTGACGAGTGTACACAGACACACACACACACACACACACACACACACACACACACACACACACACATGTACACACATACACACATTACACACACACACACATCACACACACACACACACACACGCTCGCCCACACACACACACACACAGTGTACACACACACACACACACACACACACACACACACACACACACACACACACACACACACACACACACACACACACACACACACACACACACACACACACACACACACACACACACATACACATCCCTTCAGAATGCATCATTTGAGAGCAGTTATTACTCACGGAGGACTTGAATCATAGAAGAAAATATTGAGAAACAATGAATTCCGGTTGAGAAGAGACAAGAAGGCTGAGGCTTGTAGAGACACCAGAGAGGAACTTCCTGATTCAACTTCTAAGACTAGATACAACGAAAATAGATGATCTGTCGACCAGGATTGCCTAGTGATATGGTGTGACACCCGATTTTCACGCAGAATGAGGTAGACTAAGCAGACGATAAATGCGAACCATCTCTGGGAATGAGTTACCACTTGAAAATCATGCTGACAAAAGTGAAAAAGTGCTGGGATGGGCGAGATGATATTTTTTATTGTAATCAGATCAGTAAGGTGACGAGGAGTTACAATTGACATGTCTCAGGGATCAGTACTGAGATCCATTTTGATATATGGGAACAACCTGATAAGGAAAAGTAATCTGTATCACCTTAGCGGAAGATGCCAAATCGAGGGATAACTACGAGACGTCTAGATGCACGCTTGCAGTGGTTCCAAAGATGGTTTGCAATCCTTTAGCCTTATTAAAACTAAATAAAACTCTCTGGGGGAAAGTACGGGCTGAAACTGATGCAGGTCTCAGAAACAGTGAAAGATAAGCATCTTGAAGTATAACACCAAACCTATCACCTGAAAAAAAAAAAATAGCAAAATATCGTCTGGAACATACGCTAAACTGGGAAATATCAAGAAACCCTTCAGGAACCAAGACAAAGAGACCTTCAGACAAAGAGACTATTTACAGTCTATGAAAGTCAAAATCTCTGATATGGAGTCTACATCTAAAAGCATAAAATTCAAATATAAAATTTCCAGAGGTATGTGACCTGACTTGTTCCATAGCTGAGGAGAATCAGAGTGGGATTTGACGAACTCAAACTCACCGCGGCTTAGAAAATGCGAATATGACAACCACGTACAGGATATTAAAGGTTACTGACAGGATAGACAAACAGGCAAAAGTTGAAAATGAGAAACAGCAGGAGTAGAGGGTAGAGGAGGAAGCTAGAGAAAAAGATGAGATGGAGAGACCTCAGGAGAAACTTATTCAGCGTAAGATTTACAAGTTAATATAGTCGTAATGGCTTGGCGCTTTCCCTGATAATTCTCTCTCTCTCTCTCTCTCTCTCTCTCTCTCTCTCTCTCTCTCTCTCTCTCTCTCTCTCTCTCTCTCTCTCTCTCTCTCTCTCTCTCTCTCTCTCTCACTCTCTCTCTCTCTCTCTCTCTCACACTCACTCCCCCCCTCCCCCTTCTTCACAGTAACTCTGCTTCCTTTTCCTTAGGTGCTCCCTTATCCAGTGGAGCATCTTACCTGCTACATCTGCCCGTTTCTCCAACTTATGCACCAGCCTCTTTATGTGTCAATGGCTTTCTGACAACGAAAATTAAGTCTGCCCAACCTTCTCTTTCTTGCTTAATTTTTGTCGCCTGGTCATGAATGAGCGAGCAAGCGTGCGTGTGTGTGTATTTACCTATGTGGGCTTGCAGGATCGAGCTGCTAGCTTTTGGACCCCGCCTTTCTTACGATCGGTTCTTTATTGTTCTGACTCCCGATCTATTTTTCTCTATCGATCCTACTCTACATTTATCTCTCATACACACACACATGTTCAGGATGCAGCCCGCAACAGCTGCCTAATCCCTAGTATCTATATACTGCTAGGTGAACTGAGGCATCAGGTGAAAGTAAACTTCTCAAACATGTGTATCCGGCTAAGGGAATTGAACCCCCGAGCCTCGGTTGCAAGTCGACGACTTGGATTACAAGACTACAGAACCCTGTGTGTGTGTGTGTGTGTGTGTGTGTGTGTGTGTGTGTGTGTGTGTGTGTGTGTGTGTGTGTGTGTGTGTGTGTGTGTGTGTGTGTGTGTGTGCGTGTCCGTGTGCGTGTGTGTGTGTGTTGTGATAGTGCATGTATTATATGAGTGAACATAAGAATCAAGGACTCTGCAAAAGGCCTATTAACCAATACGTGGCACCTCTTATTATATCTGCCCAAATTCCTTCATTTATATGTCTAACCTACCCTCGAAACAACCAAGATATTCTACATGTATTATTTTACCTGGTATATTTTTTCCCCACAAATCTACAGCCGTTACCAAACCAGTATCTATCCAGGTCTTTCCCAAATCTAACTTTTTAATTATTGTACATTGTTTCCTGTCTATTATGAGTAAGCGTGTTTTGAGAATGTATGGGTTCTATGAGTGCATGTGTTGGAATAGTG